GGGGGCAGGGTAGGTAGGTACCACAGTCTTTCCAGGGGCACCAGCGGCTTAGCAGGGGCACCAGTCATCACATGACTAACCAAAAATAAAGCAAAAAAAAAAAAAACTGAAAATAGGGCACCACCAAAATTAAGTGGGCGAAATCCGTTGAGGTTTTAATTTTGGGCATAGGTACTAGGTAGGGGCACCACTTCGATTCATGAACCTCCCCTTTCCCGAATTTCCCGAGTTTTCCCGAATCCGCCCCTGGTACTAATACATCAAATTTAAGGGGGGGCACCTTGCTATTGGTGCCCCCCTTGCAGAATCCAAGGGGGGGCACGGTGCCCCGGTGCCCCCCCCCCCCGTTCCGCCGCCTATGACTGAAGCGGCATAGACCCATCGCGGTCACGGCCGGTGGGCGGAGTCAAGTTGAGCACGGCGTAACGTGATTGGCCAGCGCTCCTATCCAATCCGGTGCGGCAACGAGCGAGCCTCTATCCGGGTGCAAAAACTGATTAACATCACGAGCCAACGACAAGTGCTCTAAATTTTGATATTTTGTTAAGAGACCATATTGACAAAAATTGGCGCTTGAGCTGAAATATGGTCTGCCAAAATTTCAAGCTAATTGGACAAAAATTGAAGAAATTATCGCCGAAAAACAGGGTCTCATGGGGTCTGAAATGCATAGTAGGTAGGTACTACAAACCACATGATCTCTCTCTCGGAGTGCAGGAATCAGAGATCAATTCGAATTAACTCGCCGGCACAAGGGGGGTGATGCAACCCCCCCTTAAGGTTTTTCGCGAATAACTCGCGTAAAAAGCGGCCGATCGCGACGAAACTTTCAGTACCCTCGCATTGATCAATTTTACACCTACCCTCAAAATTTCATGACCCTGACCCAAATGACCTTTGACCTGCGACCTCTTTTCCGAGACCCTGTTTGGCCGGAATCGCGATTCGGCGTATGTCGGCTCGCATTAGCCGCGCGTTTGCAAGCTTTTCGTGGTTTCAAACGTTCAGACATGTGATTTGATGTTGCTCCCATACATTAGGGTGGGTGTCAAGGTCACCTGAAGGTCAGGTCAGGTCATTGACCTTTGGTGACCTCGGGTGACCTCGGTTCACTTTTTCGAGTTTTACATGTTTCTAGGCTAGTTTTTGGAGCTGAATTCGAATTTAGCAACCATTTGAACATTTACGAAGTAGTTTTGGTGTCTTCGTAACATGTTACGAAGCTGTCAGAGGCGGTTGACACGTATTACGAATACCCGTCACAACCCCTACCGGTTGACCTGACCTGACCTGACCCGACCTGGTCTAAATGCTTAAAGATATCGTCTCTGATCAAAACTAACACGATATTCGTGATCAGCACCCCGGAAAACCACATAGCGGCCACACTTTACGACTTCTAACAGGTCCCGATTTTCCCGGTTTTCGGGTCATTGACCTGAGCTGGAAGGTCACCCGATGAGTGATGACCCAGGACCTTAAAATTGGGTATATTGGCTTCCTCTCGTGACGGGCAGCACGCTCGTTTTTTTCCGCGAAGCTCTAGCTCGATCAGGGGCCAAACGCGAGGGGGGGGGGGGGTCGTACAGTCGTGTACCTACAGGTTGATGGTCCCCTACTCTTTATCCACCGGGTTCCATATGGCTCAGCATTGGCAGCAGCCGCCTGGTACCGGTAGGCTGTGCTGCATGACCCGAGAGTGAAGCGGCACAGTCTACCCACGCCGCTTGACATCGGCTCGGGTCGCCGGGTGGAGCGCTTTGTAGACCAGCTGTCGCGTCAGACCAGCGCGGGGGGAGGGGCTCGTCTCGGTGGTTGGCGTTGGTTGGCGAGTGGTGTGGGGCGTGCTGGTGGACCATGGGGGCTGGGCGGGTGTGCGTGGTCACTTGCTGCATTGCACATTTTGCGTCGCTTAACAATTGCATTCCTGTTTTTGCTAAGCAAAATGCACGGAAGACCCAGCGAATATAATTTACTTGTGCAATGTGCAATGTGCATTGTGCAAAACGTGATTTGGCACGGTATCGAGGCAACCATAGGTCTTGTGCCACATATATGCATGATATTTAGCCCGCGCCCCACTGGGGGGGGGGGCTATTTATAGCCCCCTCCCGTTTTTCTTCAATAACTTTCAAACCGCTTGACGGATCGACGCCAAACTTTCAGTACCTTTGGCTGCATCAATTTGAAACCTTGTGTCTAAATTTGAACTTCGTAGCTGCCATAGGTCGGCCGGAAATGACGTCAGAGTGACGTCATGTTCGTCCGATTTCGACGCAAAACATTGAACCACGGCAATCGCTCCCAAGAGCTCAGTTTTTAAGCTAGATCCAATTTCTTTGCATGAAAGGACTCAGAATTGACCGCGCTATCAAACTGCTATCTCGGATTTTCAAAATTTTGAAAATTTTGAAAATTGTATATAATAATATTCAAAATTTATATTTTTATATTTTTTCAAAAAGTTTTTGACTTTTCGGAAAAACCGGAATATATGTGACAACACGCATGATTATGACTAACTCTAGCAAGTTTTAGCTAAATATCTTCAAAAATGGCCAAGTTATACGCATTATTGCAAAAAAATTCACAATTATTAATTTTTTCAAATCAATTTTTCAGTACGTATTTGGCATCGTACACCAATATAAATGGCACCATCGTGTTCCTGAGCTCAAACTGCATCCAATAGACACCTTTTTTGTTGAAAAATCTCAACTTTAAAATTTGACCTTTTTTGACCTGAAAGTGACCTGACCTAAGCTAAATTCGACTCAAAATGACCTCGAATGACACAGACGACATCAAATTCGAAATCTATGGCCTAAATGGACCATAAAACATGTGTCACGTGACCGACGCATGATATAATATTTTCGTGACCTGTGATGACCTGACCCTGACCTGAAATTCAAAGTACAAGTTTGGTACCCTCAAGGTATCTAGAGCATCTGCTCACGAGTGTGGAAACCAAAAATGAGCCTGATCTGACTTGTAAGACGGCGGCCAGAGCCCAAAATGTGAACAAGCCAAAGTGCTAATAATATTTACTTTGACCTGACCTGTGACGTCATCGATGACCTCGAGGTCAATGAAATTAGGTTTCGCTCGACAGTTTTTCCGGGGATATCAGACGCCGTTTGAATTTTGACGATCGGCCCAGTAGTTTCGGAGTTAGGAGGGGGGCTATGAATAGCCCCCCCCCCCCCCAGTAGGGCGTGTTATACACAGACCCCAGTGGGGCGCGGGTTAGGCAATACGCTTATGAAAATGGTAGATTGATCGGATTGATCCTGGATGTCAATTCGTATGTTAAATGTCGACATGTATTAAATGAACGAATGAATGAATCAATCAATCGACAATCGACATGTAGATATAAAACCGTATAAATGGCTCACAACCACTAAAATCGAACCAGATCCTAACTCGGAAAAGTAGCCGGAGCCCCGATGAGGCTCGAACCGGGACTCCACGTTGAAAGTTTTGCCAATGATCCATCATCATTCCACCAAGCTAGAGCGACCGGTACCCGGAACCACAAAAACATTCATCGACTTTGCTGCCGACCCCCGGCCCCGCCGCCCGCCCGGCCAGACTTTGCCCCGGCCGTGGCCACCATCCGGTGTAGCTCAGCGTAGGAGTGCTAGACTGTCAAACTGACCGGTAGTGAGAGGCCCGGTTCGAGACGCTTCGCGTGCTGGATGTTTATTTCTGTGGCTATGCGATTTGTCCACTTTTCAGAAAGATTATTTTGGTGACAGGTCTGTTTTCTTTCTTTGCTCCAATTCATGAGGAGACCGCATGGACCCTTACCTGTCCTTCCGCACTCCACTTGGGAGATGAGTGTTTGAACCCTCCTGGGTTTTATGAATATCTCTAAAGCGAATTTTTGGAGGGTGGATTACGATCGGTTCTATGCAACAAGTGACCACACACACCCAGCCCCAGGTCCGCTCACTCCCTCCCCACATCACCCACACCACACTCCAGCCCGCCTCATCCACCGAGCCGAGCCAAATAGACAGGCCTGACCCTTACCCCCACCCCTCCCCCCAGCCGGTGTAACGCGGCGTCCGGTCAAATCGCTCTACCAGGCGACCCGAGCCGGTGTCATACAGTGTGGGTAGGCTATATGCCGCTTCACTCTCGGGTCATGCGGCACAGCCTACCGGTACCAGGCGGCTGCTGCCAATGCTGAGCCATAGGAACCCGGCGGATAAAGAGTGGCGGACCATCAACCTGTACACGACTGTACCACCCCCCCCCCCCCTTGTGCCGTCGAAGGACGCAAAATGGCCTGTGCCGGCGAGGGTTAAACAGCCGTCTGCAAGAGTCTGGTTTCGAAATTTGTGTCACTGATGCTTTGATTATTGATAGGGTTATGAGATCAATCTCAAATTTGATCGGGGAGTCAAAATTTGTAGCCGTGGGTGCGTGATGCCTAAACGTCCATAAGGTCTCGGTCACTGGATCTGAAAAGTGAAAACAAAGCTTAGTCCTTAGGGTAACTAAGGTAACTTGCTTTGGCTCAATGTCATAAAAATGACGGAGCAATGAGCATAGCCCCTTCCCCGCAACCCGTAGCGTCCAATCCACTCGTCCACACTAGTCCACCGTCCGGAGTCCACACTACTTCCCAGAACCGTCGGGCCAGGCTGCCTTTGGTGAAAGTGACATGCAGGATCAGACGACACTATCAGCGGTCAGGTTCAAGACGGGTGGGCCCGATGCGATTCCGATAATGTCTAGTCAGTAGTCACTAGTCACAGCCCACAGGGACCACAGGGAACCGGTTTAGTCTGCGGAGTCCCGTGGGACAGCGACGTTTGACACAGCGGCCATCGTTCCCACCGAGAGGACCTGCTGTAAAAGATGCATGACGCTCACACGATCACGTTCTCACGGCTCCAGCAACGCCCGTGTGTTGTGACAACCCAGCCCTGAGGGTGAACCGAAGTCGTTCCGTTCTGCTGACGGTCGTGTTCGCCAAACAGTCACTGCCGATATTCGCTGGAGATCAGAACACCCGAGCGAACCTCTGCATCAGGTATGAGTATTTAAAGGGACTATCCCACCTTTAACATGGGGTTTGAGTTGAGATAGCCAAGTTTGCGGCGAGGTTCAGAAACCACTATCTATCTAGGTTGCAACCCCCGCGGCCTCGTGGTGTTGAAGAAATTCGTTCCCTTCATTTGAAAATGGGCCTTGTACAGCCCTCTGCTCACTGCGTGGTAGGTTATAGTTGCTTCAGCGAAACCGGCCAATATCTCAAAGGCTCTGCTACCGAGTGCGCAGAAGTCCTGACGGAGGGACGCGCAATACCACACAACTTTGTTTGAACCCCTTGTTGACTAGACCTACCTCTCTGTGTCGCTTCAATACACAGAAGTCTGTATTTTCCGTCCTTAGACTAAGTTTTTTTGCCCCCCTCCTAGAACCGTCCCTGCCATGCCTTCAATGAGCTCAGCTGACAGCCGCTTACTACGGAATGGTAGTGCGAGTTGGGTGCGTAAACAGGCATGAGTCGGTGACCAGCGCAGAGGCTAAACCGGTCGGCGGGTCAGTCGACCGGGTGCGGTGGGGCGGGGAGGTGGACGCGGGCCGGGGTCACTTGGGTCAATAGCCCGAAGCTATGTCTCGGCCAGAAGCCGATCCAGACAGTCTGGCGCGACCCGACCAGGCCGTTCTAAAGCACAGGGACTAGGAATGAATTAGCCATTTTGCAGGATTGTTACAGGTTGGTGTCAAGGTTGGTGTCAAGGTCACGTGAAACTCAGGTTAGGTCATTGAACTTCGGTGACCTTGATTCACATTTCGAGTTTTACACGTGTCTAGGACAGTTTTTGGAGCTCATTTAGAATTTAGCATCCATTTGAACATTTAAGAAGCAGTTTTGGTGCCTTTGTAACATGATGCGGAGCTGTGAGTGGCAGTTGACACCTACTATAGATACCCGGCAAGAACCTACTGGTTGACCTGACCTGACCTGACCCGACCTGGCCTAAATGCGTGAAGACATCATGTTTGATCAAACCTAACATGATATTTGTGATTAGCACCCCGAAAAAAAACTAGCAGCCACACTTTACGACGTTCTAACTTCTAACAGTTTCCATTGTTCCGATTTTTGGGGTCATTGACCTCAGACCTGACCTGGAAGGTCAACTTATGATCTAGGACCTTAAAAATAGATATTTTTTGTTTCCTCTCGTCACAACAACACGTTCGTTTTGTCCGCGAAGCTCTAAGTCCATCAGAGGCCAAACGGCAAGGGGTATCCAACGAACCCCCCCCCCCTCCCCTATACGTTCGTGGCTGGCTAAACAACAATACGGGCGAGGGTTAACTCTGTCTATGGGCCACGTAGCAACACACGGTAAGCGACATTTGAAACAACGTTCAAAATTAAGACGAAAATATTTCGATCAGTTTATAGGTCAGGTTAACGGTTAGGTCACCAGATGTCAACAAAGGTAAAGTGGTGCATATATAAACATTTTCTGAAACACCGGCGCATAACTTAAATGAATCAATATTGATGCAGTGCCGCAGAAAAGCGCGTTCGATAGACCTTTAAACACTTTTGACTCAAGCAAGGAACGTGCAAGTTCAAGGTCATGACCTGTCCGGAAGAGGTCATGTTGCGCATCAGTCAATGCGCATCGTCGACCTAAGCACATCGAAGGTGTTTTCATTGCTCTAATCAAAGGCAAAAACCGCCGGGGACCTTTCATGACCTGCGATGGCCTCGGGGATATAAGTAAGGTTCCCATGTGCTATTGTCTTATTCAGTATGTCAAGTTTACTGGTGTCATGATATTTGAGAGTGTTTAGCATACCGTTTGTCTTGTAATACGTATTTCAATTTTCTCCAACTGACCAAAAATAGAGAGGTCGCAGATTGCCCTAAACTTAGCTCAGCGATATCAAAGTTACGAAATCAACATTTAATGCACACCGCTCTTATCAATCGCTCAAAGTTTCAAGGCGATCGTTCAGTCAATGTGGCTATGACGAGCATTTTAATTTTTTTCTGAGGCGAGGTCACTTTACGTGACCTACCTGGTGACCTGACCTTGAGAGGCATGGGCTTGAAACTTTCACAGCATGTGCGGGAAACTTGCATTAAGAGGTGTGCCGAAAACGGTTTTGCTCTGCGCTGCCGTTTTTTTTTTTACTCAATATCTGCGAAAAACGCAGGATACCTACGTCCAACCCCCCAACCCCCTTTCCCCAACGCTGGTAAGATATCTAATAATCTATATCCTTTTGAAAGATCTTTACTATAGGTCTTTCGAAAGCTCTATACTTAAGGAAAAGAATTTGAGCACCCTTAACTTTTCACATGGCACGTGCCACGACAGACGCCTTTAGATTTATAAATATACAGGGCTGCGGAGTCGGAGTAGGAGTCGAAGCCGACGTCGGAATCGGTTGGAGTCGACAGCTGTGACCGGAGTCGCAGTCGGAGTCGTAGTCGATTTTGGAAACCGAGACCGGAGTCAGAGTCACCGAAAATCTGCCGCCTCCTCGGCCCTGCCAGGTCTGCGGAGCCGGAGTCGGAGTCGGTCCTAAAAAATTCATCGACTCCGCAGCCCTGTCAATAGAAGTTAATTACGGCGTAGAAGGGATATTAGGCTGCCCAGCAAAAAAGAAAAAAGAAAAAAAAAACAGACCGCAGGGCAATCAGCCCAGTGGTTGCTTTTATATAAACCTCTCAAAATCGTTACAGGTCGGGCCGCTCATTCTAAGATTTTTTCCGTTTTAGTGAAAATACTTTGCTTCGCCCGTTAGCTCATAATCAGCGGACACCACCTCAAAAACACCAACCACTGGCCGTAACGCCGGCGCCCCGCACACCCTGCCGGCCCCGAGGGCACGCCGCGCCCCGTCTCGGGTCAACTGAGGTAGGGGATGGGGAGAGGTCCGAAGTCCAGCTGTGGTCCGCAGCTCAGGTGACCATCATTGTGCCCCGGCGGCCAGTTTCTGTGAACTTTGACCTACCGCTGGATACCCGAGGGCTCCCCTCCCCTATCAGCCGTAGTGAATAGCCTCTACCCAGGCAGTGCGAGCTATCACAACAAACGTGCGTATCTGGGCAGCGTGCGTAAAACTCCGACCTCCCCTCGCCAGGCTCAATTTGGACTTTCCCATTGGAAGTGGCGCAGTCAGGCTCAATCTGATTCGGGGCAGAGCAAATAGCTGAAAATTAACATTTTCCCTGATATCTGGAAATATAGCGAGCTTTCGAACGTGCCACTTTTAGGACGGGTGCAAAAAGTTGTTGTGGACATTTCCAGAGTATCATTATGCATCTCCGTCGCTTTACCTAAGTAAGAACGTAGGTCGATATTGCTGTGTGTAACGTATACCTACCACGCAGTGAGCAGAGGGCTGTACAAGGCCCTATCTTCAACATGGAGCGACCGTTAGTGTGACGTCACCTCGTTTAGTCATTCTGATTTAACCCGCGCCCCACTGGGGTCTGTGTATAACACGCCCTACTGGGGGGGGGGGCTATTCATAGCCCCCCCCCCCCCTAACTCCGAAACTACTGGGCCGATCGTCAAAATTCAAACGGCGTCTGATAGCCCCGGAAAAACTGTCGAGCGAAACCTAATTTCATTGACCTCGAGGTCACCGATGACGTCACAGGTCAGGTCAAAGTAAAAATTATTAGCATTTTGGCTTTTTCACATTTTGGGCTCTGGCCGCCGTCTTACAAGTCAGATCATGCTCATTTTTGGTTTCCACACTCGTGAACAGATGCTCTAGATACCTTGAGGGTACCAAACTTGTACTTTGATTTTCAGGTCAGGGTCAGGTCATCACAGGTCACGGAAATATTGTAATGGACACTGAATGGGTGTCATACTGAAGTTTGGTGATTGGAGTGCGGCGACGTCCCATATATCCCCGATAGCCGAGTGGGTAGGGTGTCTGGACGTTTGGCCGGCGTGATCAGTCGGTGGTTGCCGGTTCGAATCCGGCCCGGTCCTTTGCTTTTGTACCGTGCGCCGAGTTTCTGTCCGTGCCGCGCTGTGATTGGTGGTGGCATCTGACCCGAGGTCACGACCGGTGCGTGCCGGCGGTGGCGGTCAGTTTTTTGCGTGGCGGTGGCCGGGTAAGTGCGGGGACTCCTGTGCGGGGGACTGTTTGGGGAGGGCTCCTGTCCCGTCCGCTGACCGGTGCTGCTGCCTGGGTTGATCCAGAGGTGCTGCCGGGCCCAGCCATCTTGCCGCTCTGCTGCCCGTGTGCTGTGCGACCTGAGGTAGCGGCTCAGACGTACATCGCCCGGGCTGTGGGGAGCGAGATTTGTGCCGCGGGTTGGGTTGTCGGAGGTGCCTCGGGTGTGGTCCGAGAGCCACCGGCGACTGATTCCGCCGTTCACCATTCTTGCGTCGGCCGGCCTCGGGTAATTCCGGGACGTCCGACGTGGGAAATCCACGGCGGCTCTGTTTGGTGGGAACCAGTGGGTTTGGGGGGGACTCGGGTTTATTCCGGGCCCCGGGTTAAGCGGAGGGACTGTCGGCCTGACTGGCATTGACGGGGCACAAATACAGGCACAAAGAGCGACACACTTTTTACTGCTGAGGCTGGACGGCGGGGTCGTCGGATTCTCCGACAAAGCGGAACGACCGAGCACAACACTGGTGTCAGAAGTGGTCGAACCTCCGCTGCCCCACCATGCCTCCTGCAAAAAGGAACGCTCAGGCCGCTGCTGTTGATGAAGTGGATGGGGACACAGAAAGGAAAATGACCGACCAAGGAGCGGAATCTGCGCGACTAACTGCTCTTGAGGAACAGATGGGAGGTGTGACAGCAGCACTGGCCGATATCGCTGGGTATATCCGTGAACAGCCTGTGAAGAGTCAAAGTGCCGAGATTTCTGAGTTGGTTGACTCTAACAGGGCGAGATCATCAGCCACCAATCACTTTGCGCGGCCCCGAGAGTTCGATGGTTCTGTACCATGGGCATCCTACAAATCGCAGTTCGAGGCCATCGCATCTGTTCACGGATGGAACGACTCAGACCGGGTGGGAGAG